GATACAATTACCACAATCTAAATTAACAAATGTTTACAACAGCTGATTTTTTACTCCCTAGAGAGTAAAAATGCTACTTTAGACCCGTAATGCATGCATTAAAAACTGTTTTTTTGCTGCAGTATGACGAAAAATAATTTTCAAACGTCATATGGCTTACATCAATTTGGCAATTGAGAAAGTCTAGTAGCCGAAGCTAACAATTTAAAGTAGTTTCAGTGCAATATCATACAGTACTTGGTTTAGTTAACAGCTGGTTGTAAACTATCAATGCGATTTCTACGTTAAATTTGGTTACAAAAATATTGATCGTTGGTGTTACCCTACATATTTAACTTTGTTTTTCGTACCTTAAATGCTTTGATTTTGCTTTGAAATGTGTAATGTTAAACTATACATCTCAAATACTCGTATTTGCGTATAATTAAGTTTTGTCGTAAATGTAATCCGTGTAAGTCATTTTACGCAAATTTTAACTCATGTTTGGAAAATATTTTTTTCAGCAAACTATCACTCAATCGTTTAGTTTATAAGCGTTTTACGTGTTGATAGTTATTTTTCTTGATTAAACATCAGAAACACAGTGTGTGTTGTTTGTCGGCATCCCAAAACGTTAGTTAGTAATGTAAATGTCAACCAGTGTAGTAGGTCTCTAGAAAACTGTTGAAGTCCAAAGCAGCTGCAGGACTGATTCAGAAATTTGGACACAGACTTAAGAACAAAAAGACCTTATTGCTGGGTTTTAGAATAGAGTGCAGACAAAATATATGGACCAGTTCAAGATAACGAAGGATGAATGAAGTAAATGAAAAAAAAAACAGAGAAGGCTTTTTACATCGACAATATTGCTGTTTTATTATAAAATTATCGGGTATAAAATGCACATCTTATAGGCTTATGATCGGATAAAAAAAATAGGTGGTTGCGTGAAATTTGTTTACTAAATAATTTTTCACATTAAAACCCCAAGAATATGTCTTTATGCGTGTAAACTAGCTTTTCTGGATTATATGCGGTTTTAAAGTTAGTAGGTACTCAATTCCCGAACGAAGGACGGGCCCACAGCTAGTCTATAAATTAATAGGCAAGCATGTTTCATTAAAACCTATATTATCAGCTCGTGTGCATCGCAGGGAAAATCTACGCATACTGTTAGAAATATATTTTCCTGTGGGTGAGCGGAATCCCTTATAAATTAAAATTTGCTCCAAAATAAGCACAAAAATTAATATAAAGTTTTAAAAAATTAACATGGGCCTTATGGGTCGCCATGCTTGTGACGAAATAACAACAAAATATAACAGGAAATTAAAACAAATGGAAGAAATTCCAATAACACGCTGTATTTACAGCATGGAGTGAAAATAGAGAAGTCTGCATTTTACATATTTTTGGTCGAGTTTTCGGCCACTGGACGACCTCTAGCTTATATTAAAATGCAATATCAATCAGTAAATTACCAGTCTTGTTACCAATCAAGGCGGTTTACTTCAATAACGATTGGATTTTTGTCGTATAAGTCCCCTAGTACCGAGACTTCCCAACATTGCATTTTATAAAATTGGAATGAACTGCAGCTCAACTTGGTCTTATGAGATCGTTGCCAATCACCGGGTGACGATATTATTACTTACCAAAACTGCGTTTCCTTGACTTTTTTATCAGTTTCTCTAAAAATAGCTTTCAACAAACACTTGACTACTAAGAGTGTTGATGAATTTCCATTGGACATAATTCCCCAGCCAATCACTTTCATTTAATTCCCCATTTCCACTGATCAAAAGAGAATTAAATTACTTTGAGGTTCAGCAAATTAAAATCTGGGTTTGTGAGTATTTTTACCGTCAACACCTGTGGCTTTTAAAAGTGGTATCGGAGGTACACAAATGAGCGGTCCAACCCCATATGTATTATGGTCTGTTGGGAATCGAACCCGTATATTCCAACTTGAAGTCCGAGACGCTACTTAGGCTAGCAACGCACTCAAGTTGTATTGAAGTTTGTCCATCTTGTAAAATTGCCTGATGTTACTTAGTCCTAGAGGATACCATTGACTTTTTGATACCACAGAAGTAGACATCCCATGGAGTACTATCTGTTGACCATTTCTTTATCAGGTTAATCGAAGGTTATTGATACACTAACAGTGTGCTAAAGTTAAAACTACATTTTCTCTGTTAGTTTTTATTACTATGGTAGTGAATGTGTCATAAAAGATGCAATAGCTAAGAAAAATGTTGTAATGATTGGTAAAAATCAGTTCTTGACATCAGCACATTTGTAGATGGCTCAACTGGCCAATCTTTTATTCTTATACTGACTGAAGATTCAACATGGGAATGAGATATCAATATGGAAAGGTAATCTATAAAATTCCAATAATAAATTCTACTGATTCAATTTTTCAACTAGTTAACACTGGCTCTGCAACTGCGTACAATACATTCTAACCTTAAATATACTTATAAAAAAAAGATTGACTTGAATATAACCTTTAAAATAAACAATCAAAATTTTTTGTATAAGGAAATGCTAGCAGAGTACACTTCTTCGTACAGGGTTGACCTAGGCTATAAGTATACAACGTGCTTATTGCAATTACTGTATACTCGGGCTTTACGTTTGCAACGGGGGAAGGACGAAGATAAGTATTTGGTCTTTAAATTTACTGTATGTAATAGTTACATTGGATATTAATTTACACGTATTTCCTAGAATCAATTACCATAATCTTAAAATAAATTAACCTACCATATAAACATGAGCAAATTACTTATTGTTCAAGTCCCCTGTGTGCAATTTGAAAATAAAATGCATTTGACACTCCTTCTTGACTACATCTAAAAATTAATGTAAAAAGAGTTTTCTCATTGTACCTATTGAGACCACTAATCAATATGTTCTTTAAAAATACTCTCCTCAGACCTTTGAAAGCCTATGTATGGGGCAGAGCAGTCAGTATCGAAGCAAGAATAGTCCTAAGCTATTCCTTACAGTAACAGTAGTTATATTTCTGTGCGATATAAGCCCAGTCAGTTAGTACTATGACAATACTTATTCATGTACTATGGCAATAACAAATATTGTTATTTATATAGTGTAACTAAACCAACACGATCACTTTGCACACTTTCATTATTACTTAGGTACAGTAGATTGTAAAGAATGCAACTGGGTTTTCAGTTAAGCTTTTCTATTATACATCAATATTTAATTTATTTACACAACATTTAACATACTTGCCGGTAACACTACAACCTTTTAGGTTATGCGATGGCCCGGCTTCGTGAACTTCAGTGTGTACCATAAATAAAGAGGAGCAAGCTTAAGTGGTAGAGAGTGAGACTTCAGTCCTTGGGGTCACTTGTTCAAATCCCGCCTATCACCGATGGATAGAGATTATAATCAATTCCCATAATTATCTATGTACCTTGAGTCCTAGGACGTGAAGTTGGGACAAAAACTTGTACGAATAAAAATAATTTGAATACTGATTACCACGGGATACAATACAATGTGACATATACCTGTTAACCCCTGTCTCCATGCAGAGCCGGCATGCTGTCTCTCCACGCGGTTACGACAATCTGAGCCATGTCTAGGGGGCTGTGGGGTGTCTGGGGGGCTGCAACAGGGGGTGAGACGCCGTCAAATGCCACGCGTCCACGGCCCTTACGCTCGTTAACATTTCCATTTCGTACAGCCTACTGTTTCCACTCGGTCGTATTTTAGGTGCAAAATGTAGGCAACATAAACTAGCTTCCTGTGATTGGATACCGGTATGCGATGTACTATATTCGACAGAAGTATTATAATCCTACTTGTATTTAGGTTATCATACACATTATGGCGATAGTATAGTAGAGACGAAGAGGCTGACGCCGAAAAACATCATGAACTCTTATCATACACATAGGTTACGGTATGATATATAATGATGGTGGAAGTTAAGGGGTTTTAATTTATTTAAGGGATCCAATAATGGAACAGTACATTTCACTTGACCAGCGCTTAATCATTAGGCCTTTTATAAAATAGTCCTGGCTTAGGAAATCTGATCTTAATAACAAAACTACCTCATCCCTCATCTAACTACTATTCATCCATCAATCCTCCTTTACTAATCTTACGCACTCAGGTATTTTGAGTGTTGTAGAAAATCTAATAAAACGCATAAACAAGAAACCAGTGTTTTCTTGGTTTTATTGAAAGGATTAGTTTAAGACCCAGCAATAAATGAGTTAAAAGTTTTCATCGTCTCTTTCCAGGAGCTCAATCCGTCTAACCTGCTGACACTAACTATACATTTATTCGTGGCAATCCTTTATACAAACCTAGGGTATGAGTTGTAAGCACCAGCTATAGGACGTTCTAGAAACAGTCACCGTGTTAAAATGCAGACTTCTAAGACCGACTGAAATAATATAAAGAGAGTTGAACTCTTTGAAGCCAATCATTCGTGTTACCATCTCATTGATTTTCATACACATTTCTAGCAAAATTGTTTTTGTGCTTGTTATTATTTATATTATTTCCTACTGTAGTGCTTATTTTAAGCCATTGCATCTTCTGGCATTGTTCTGTATGTATGATTGTCATTGGAGTTATAAGTTGGTAATAAATAAATAAGCTATATGAGAAGAATATTCGACAAACAAATTAAAGGAATCCCGAGGTGGAAAAGTAAAGGGGCGAAATAATACTGAGAGAAGATGAAGAATTCACACACACACACACACAGTGTTTATTCATTAGACTAGTTAACCTCATGTTTATGGATTGTTATAGGACTAACAAGTATACTTCTTCCTGCAACAAGTGTACCCGAAAGATGAGTCTGGTTTGTATTTGGGGGGGGGGGTGTTTGAAAGGTCGTACAAACCGATTACAAGCTCCAAACAGCGCATAAACGTCCATTATTTGCGGGCGGCTTATGCAAGTGCACTTTCTAGCTTGGACATTGTATATAAGCGTTCTGTCCCGTTTAGTCATTGACTACCATGGCTGTTCTCAAGGTAAGTGGGTCCAAGTATTTCCATCTAGGTTGAAAATATTAGTCATTAGAAAATCCGCCACAACAAGAATGAAAACGAATACACAACATTGCCGATCATATCATACTTGTAAGTTTGGGAAAAGGAATTATTTTCAATTTTGGGAGGGCAAGAGTCATTATAATGGCTTATGTGTTGGTTCCGGGCCAGAAATACCTTTGGAGTAGAATTACAATTTATTATTTAAGAATAGTACTAGTGAACCTGTGCGGCTCAATGCCCCGCAAAAAAACATATGAATTTAAAAAAACAAATTCATCGCGTTAAATATATTGACTCTAAGTCGAAAATTAAATACAGTAATAATAGAAGGGAAGCAGTCCAGTCATTTTTAGCTGTATTCTTGTGCTGCAAATGCCAAAGATAACAGAAATTAGCATCTTTCCATTTTAAAAGGTAAGTTTGTTTCAGACGGGCAAATTTTTATCCTCGAAATCAAAATATGTCCCCACTCACTTGTTCCAGTTAGGACTTTACATTCTACTTTACATTGTTGTTAACCGTTCTGATCACATGACGCCTTGTGCCATTAATGAGGCCCTTTTTGATGTATTAATATCAATAAAACCGCTGCCCCCTTTTATTAGTATAATCTGTGTCTTGGCAAACCACTGACCTCTATATTTAAAAACTCAGTTGGATTTTCTAGATGGGTGTCTCCGCCTTCGTCTGTTTTCGAGGACTCACTCTTCTTCCCCTTGGCATACTGACAATTAATTACCTAACTTGTCAAGTTCATGTAGTAATTCATTAATACTGTTAGTTTGTATAGAAAATTATATAGAAGTTACTTGGCTTGGTGCTTTCAAAACTGCTAACTCAAAATACACCCAAGTAAAAAAGAATGAAGTTATTGGTAAAAAAAAAACTATGTTTGTGTAAAAACATTATTTACATGAAGTAGATGATTTGTTTGATTTCACGATCAGCTGTTTCGTTTCTAATGAATTAATAATGCCAAAGATTTGTGATTTTAAATACATCAATTATTATAGTATAGTTTTCTAAATCATGGTAACTTATTCTCAACTAAATTTTACTATTCCCAGCATTAAAATAAAGTAGTAAAATCCATTATGAGTAAACTTTAAGTTACACAATCCTTGATTGAAATGTAGTATACACTAACAGTCATAATACACAGCAATTATTATGTAGTAGACTTTGACTATTTTCAAGTAACAAACATATGTTTGTGTAAATAAAAAATTATCTCCCATGTTATCCTTTTGGAGAAATACGAAACTTTAAAGGGCCCCAGGGCCTCACTCTCTAATTATTTCCCTAAAAAAAAAAAGTTTCCTGCACAACTTCACGTTACGCTCTTTCCAATGCCACCAAAAACATGTCAATCGGTTCAGTAGTTTCGGAGGAGTAATTGTCACAAAATACCTGCTTGCGTATTAAATAAGTAACTAGTGTTCCTGTTGCTCGAATTCGAGCAATTGCTTAGTATCACAGGCGTTATTTTAAAACGAATAACAGTCATAATTTCTGATGACTTTAAAAGATTCGACTCAGAGATTAACTCAAGAAGGAAATACTCAAGATGTACATAACAGATCGATATAATCAACATTTCTTATCATTTTTCAAAAGCTGATCTTGTTTTTTAGTGTTTTCTTACGAACAGCCTAACTCATTGCCGCATTAGGTTGTCCATGATAATAACGATTATAAATTATAAAAAGCACATTATTTCTTCTCCTTGGTGGTGTTCCATTATTTCTATTTCTTCTCCTTGGTGGCACGTTCTATGACTTTCCTATGTTTCCATAGTTTGCAAATGGGCTCTTTTCATGATTACTAAGAAATGCAGCACAGTACGGTATTAATTCAGTTTTCTTTTTAGTATATCAATTCATCCAGGCTCTCGCTTTTTTCCATTGTAATATTTACGCCAACCCTAATTCAAATAGTAAATATGTCATTTCAACCAAGTCAGTAAATATTTTTTTAGCAAAGTGTTAAATTAGCAAACTTATAGACGGTTTACAGTTAACATATGTTCTTCTTCTCACTTTTAATTTCTGACAGCAGCTGGAATTTTATAACAGTTTTTGTTTCCCGAAGTACGAAATTTTAAAGGGCTCCAGGGCCTCACTCTCTAATTATTAAACATTAAAAAGGCTACTTTAAACTCTGCAGGACAGAGTTAGGCAAAAACTTGCAGAACTCTGATATGGTGTTATTTATCATAGGCTTACTCATATGCCAAATCCTTAAAATACATATTTAATAACTAATAACTTATACCATTAAACAACCAACATCCAAAACTATACACATTTTTAATACAACATAGATAATTGACACATTGACTGTGTTACAATTAAAATATCTTCTTCTTCTCACTATTAATTTTTGCTTCGCAACAGGAAAAAATCTACGGGGAATAATCTATCATAAAGTTTAAGATTAAATAAACCTACCACATAGTTGTTTTTTTTTGGATCAGCTGTCTGAAATTGTGAAATAGGCATTTGACAGTTCTGGTTGTTTACATTTAAATGTCAAAGCAAATGTAAACATTTTGAATTTTCTCTTGCTTCCATGGAGACCAATAATTATTAATATTTAATTTCTGACAACAGCTGGAGTTTCAATACAATGTTTGTTTCCCATGTTAATCTTATGGAGAAATACAAAACTTTAAAGGGCCCCAGGGCCTTACTCTCTCATTATTTACATAAAAAGAAAGTTTCCTGCACAACTTCACGTTACGCTCTTTCTAATGATACCAAAAACATGTCAATCGGTTCAGTACTTTCGGAGGAGTAATTGTCACAAAAATCCTGCTTGCGTATTAAATAAGTATAGATTAAATAAGTAATAGATAACGAATCTAAAACTGTTCAATATTTAGATATATTAAAGTATATAAAAAAACTTTAACTTTTTGTAATAGTAACATTCACCTTAATGTAAATTGTACATTCATGTTTAAATTAATGTAAACAAAATTGTGACTAGTTAAAAGTTTTAAAGCACTTCACTGTTTTAATCATGGAGCAAATCCTCCAGAAGCAAAATCGGAATAGGTGACCCATAATTTTTGCGATAGAATGACATTTTACTCATTTAAGGGTTTGAAATATGAAAACTAGTGTTTCTTTTAATTTAAGACTTGAAAACATTTCATTATATGTCCTCATTTATAGTGCTAGGACAGATGAACAAGATGGTAATCTTTTCAATAGTATCTAAGATTAAAATGGCAATAATAATGCTAATGAGCGGGTCAAATGTGTAAGTTTGTCAGTACAAACTCTGCCTCCATTGTGCTCTCTCTGCTTCCATTAATTGTACTATAGTAAGTATAGTAAGAAGCTACCGGTAATTTACAGTAAATATTTGTACTTCCAACCAGTAATTAAAAATTATGTAAATAAATGTTAAGCACTATTCGGCATCTACACAACACTAAACTGTACCCGAGAGTAAAGTTAAAATACTGGGAAAATTAACTAACCTTCAATGATGTCTTAAATTTTATACAGGGTATTTTAGGCGCGGTAACTTAAATTAAAATCAAATCAAATGATACTGTGTTTAAAAGGGACCTAAGGTCGTTTTAGTACAATTATGGTCATAATTTTCAAGCTAAATTTAATTTTAAATGCTATTGATACTATCATCAACATTTTTTAGAACTTAGAAAGTTTTTATATGTTACTTATGTGTTGCTTATGGGGCAGTGGGCATAATAATAAACAGTCATAAAAACAGCTATTGTTACTGTACATACAATATTGTATTGAGTCAGACTCAGAACTAACCTTTGTTATCACTTGCATTATTGGCTGTGAGAAAATGTGTATGAACACCAAGAGAACACTTAATCAACCAAATAACCAAGCACTTAATTAACGAAGCATGCAAGAGTAGGCTCAATGAGAATCGTAAAACAAAGGCCTATTAGGTTAATGAGTGTTTTGAACACATAAATCTACAACTTCATAAATCAATCCAAAATGCTTTGTTATTACAACTGATGGAAATATGCAAAACCACTTTGCTTAGCTTGCTAACACTTGTGAAACTTTGAAACAACTCAAATATGTCTACATAGTAATGGTTAAATTGAAAGGTCTTATTGTAGGCTATATTGACAAGTTACGTCTTACAGTACACGTAGGAACAGTATGTTTCCCTTAACACTTTCATAAAAAATTTCAAAGTTTCTAACCAAGTGTTTAAGCTAAAAAAAATATTCATAAGGTCACGAAAATACGAAGGGTTGAAAGATTGTAGTAGCCTATAACAACATTTCTTCTCTTCTGTAACTTACTGTGTCAAAGTTTACAATGTGCTTTGGTATTTCATTATAATATTTCACATATTTTCGATCCTAGCTGAATTTAATTTCTACGTCCTACGTCCTTCTAGGTTTAATATAAAATAATTATGTTTATAAAGAACATACATGTTTTTTTTCTTTGGTTGACAATTTAATAATTTCCACCTCCAATAATAAAAATACTAATGTTATCTTCAACGTGATTCAAAATTAAATAATGTGTATGGATCAAACTTTAACCAAGTTAACATGAATTTACCCCGATATAACATATATTTTTACATATCAATCATTCCAGTCCACTTGATCATTTAAATTCCACTTGTATTACCATTTCAATAATAAACCAAAAGATACCAATTGCAATGGGATTTTAAGGGATTGTTCGAATCCTGAAAAATGTTCAACGTTACTTCTTTTTAGGTAAAGAATTTTACACAATTATACAGACGTTTCTATGCAGAAATAAAGTTCAATTGATTTATTTAGTTTGTAAAATTGTGTTACCCTGATAATAAGGTTATCTTTATGAAATGCTTGAGGTGTTTAGTTTAAAATATGCTAATTATAATCAGCTGGTGTCCGGAAAAATTAATTACCGTACATCCAATAGTTAATGACAGTACGCAATGAAGTTAATTTTATTAAAGCAGGCGGCAAA